GATAGTGTCTGTCTCCCGAATCCAAACTGGAAGCTGGTTCCACAGAAGAGGGGCCTGAAAACTGAAGGCTCTGCCTCCCATTCTACTTTTAAATACTCTTTACAACAAGTTGGCCTGCAGTGTGAGAGTGAAGTGATATGGTACTACAAGGTCATTAAGATAAGATGCCAGCCTAGCATAGCCTAGATTTACAGGTCTAGCATAACGTATCGTCAGGGTGACTGAAAGCATTTGGCAGAGGCGGCATTTGTAACTTTTTGAAGCTACTGCACTCAAAAAAGTGAAATTGGCTGGTTATTGCATTTACTTACTTGAGTCTTACTTATAATTTGAACAAAATAATTTGATGTTTCTGTGGTATATGTAATCAAATCATTTACGATTTGTATGAAATTCAACAACTTAACAGTTGCTAAATTAATTCCTGTTAAAATGATGTGACATAATCCAGCAAAAATGGTTAGTTGCTTGGACTCAAATAAATAAATAAATGTAAATGTTTTAATTTACAAATATCAACATTGTTGTTGTTAACAAAAGTGTAAAGAAAATTTTTAAATCAAACCTTGTAACCATAGCTTTCCTACTTTTTTTATTTTTTAAGTATAGAACGACAGCTCGGTGGCAAGCACTGTTTCCTCGCAGCAAGAATGTCCTAAGTCCTAAGATCCACCAACTGGCCAGGGCCTTTCTGTGTGGTGTTAGCATAATTGTGTTTGCGTGGGTTCTCTCCAGGTACTCTGACTTCCTCCCACAGTCCAAAGACATGTGAGGTTACTTGATGATTCTAAATTGCCAATAAGTATGAACTGTGAATGTTAGTGCATATAGCTGTCTGTCCCACCTCAGCCATAGTCCTCTCACTCTATGACAGCTGGGAAAGGCTCGAGCCCCTCTAGCCTCCGGGATAAGCAGAGAAGAATGGACGGATGGGTTCCCTCCCTGAGCCTGGTTCTGCCAGAGGTTTCTTCATGTTAAAAGGGAGTTGTTCCCTTTTTTTGTTCATTTAAATATTTGTTTTTTTGTTTTGTTTTTGTTGTTTGTTTTTTTGGGGGTGGGGGGGGGGTGTTAGTGTGGACAGAGCTGTGGCTGTAAGGTTGTTAATACCTGTCATGTTGGTAATCTCAGGTGGGGAGTCTTAACAGCCTTGTTTAGCCTGTGGGACTGCTGAGGCAGCTGACAGACACTGGCAGGCCAACTAGAGCGCAGCTCTGGAGGTCGTTGAACCCATGGAATTAGACTTTTGGTCAGCTTTGATTGCTCTAGCAATCTAGTACAGGTGGCCATTTCAGCCTTGAGCTGAGGTGAAGAAAAAATGTAAAAAGTCATTGCCCTACAAATTGAGAATAAACACACACACACTTAAAGCAACAGTTTGTATAATGAGAAGGTTAAGCAAGTGTTTTGAAGCAGGTTTTTGTTACCATGGCTACAGGGATAATTATGTTTCTGTGCTTTTTGCATTTAAACCCACAAAGGTACCTAAAACAAGTCCCTTTGGTATTCTTTGTGTTCTTGTGTGTTACATTTTTAATTCTGATGCTCTGATGTAACTCGGCCTAATTAAAGTTTTCTGGTCACTCATTAGATAGTTGTTTTTTCTAGAAAAGGCAGAATGTGGAGCAGAGGACTTCAGTCCTGCTTAGACAAGCCAGTGATACCTTCTCACATATTTTGTAAAGCAACCTTTAAATCTGGAGGAGTTTCATTTGTGTTCTGCAGCCTTTTAATGTTTTCATGCACACATCAAATTTTTCTTCACTTGTCATTGTCGTTTATCGAGCTAATTTTTTCTTACCTGGTCACCTGTTGGGAGGTTCATCCGTCTGTCTGGTGAGAAGAGATGGAGCTGTGGACATTCGATATTCCACTCCAAAGTCCCAGAGGTCTGTACCTTTACTTTACTGTCTTTACTTTTCCACCAACTAACTACTTATGTCCAGTCAAAACTTCATAATCTGCCATTTATATAAAACAGAAACACTTGTTAAAGGTGATGAAGTGTTTTTGGGGTTTTTTTGGTAAAAATTATTTAAAACTGATTCTGTTATTGCTGTTGGTGCTTTTACAGTTCTGGACCCTAACCACAATGTTAATAACACATTTTCTTTTTCTTTAAATAACAACCATAGTTGGAATCCAAGAGATCAAATAACAGACAACTCAAAAATATATATAACAACTGCATTATTAGTGTTTGTGGTGTTTCTTTTAACTAATGTCATTATTTGATTAAATCTATTGTTTTAACCAAACCTACAGTATTATTTGAAGTTATAGTACCTGCTTATGGAGTACAGTAATACAGCAAAAGTACAATTTGGTTTTTGGTACAGTCATACTGAAGTTTTAGTCCAGTCACACTGATGTTTATTTGGGTTCATTTATTTTAAAATTTAGGGTTCTTAAAGTAAATTTAACTTTAAAATAGGTGGTACTCATTTACTTTGCTATAAGGAGTTCATGTGACTCAATTTTGAGTAAGTTGTTAGCTTAAGTTATTTAAAAATTCTGATACCATTAGATTTTAGATTAAATTAGATTTTTACAATAGAAATGGTGGTTACTTTCAAGGAGGTTAAGTGATTGTTTAGGTATGCTTGTCAGTGTGATCACAAGTAACTTATTTTTACAGGAATCATTTTAATACAGCTCAAAATACCACAAATCTTGACGTTCTCACAAAAAACCCAGCCTGATCTCATAGCAGTTCATGATATACTCATGACTACTAATCTACTGATTCCCGTTGCTGGCCCACATTTCACAACAGTATGTTGTGTCCTTGAGCACAATTTTTCTTCAGTCCACTCTATTTGTTTATTAAAAAAGTTAGATAAATTCTAGATGAACAATTAACAAAGAGTGTATTTGTTTTCATGGCAGATGTTGAACTTTGAGTTACATGTCAGTTTTTCACAAATCACTTGTATGATTTTTTTTATCCATTAAATTGCATGTATGTCATTTGATTAAGGTTCGTCATTTGAAACCTCTTGGTTAGGTTTTGAAAAAGTGATCTCAGTAAAATTATAAACCTTGTCACAGCTGGTGGTAAAACCTCCCTGCTTTTTCTGCAAAAATATGTGTTTTTGACACAAAATGCATTCCCTGCCAAAATGCATTACTTACAAATTTATGATAATTCATTTTTGACTATTTCCTACTCGTCACGGCTGCTACAACAGTCGTGTGGTGTTTGTGAAGGAAGGACCTAAATGCAGGCGAAGGCTGTGATTCGAGTGAGCGTTTTATTTACAGTGTCTGCACAGTGACAAAAACAGGAAATAATGATTGGGGAGCTACCAAAACCTAGAATGGGAAAACCAACGTCATGCAAACTCAAACTGAAAAACAAAACGCTAAACACTGTGATACCTGAAACCACGAGGAGACAAAAGGCACGGGAACACATGGCATGAGAGGCGGGGATGACACAGAGAAACACCAAGAAACGCAGAGGGCCCCTTCGCCTAATGTCCTGATGCAGTTGTGTACTGAATAATATAATGTCTGTGAGTATACTGATTTTGAAGTACTGTGTAAAATGTAATTAAGACCACAATGATAATGCTTTTGCTAAACATGGCTCAAACTCTCCTAGGTTTAAGTCATCATCTAACCATAGCTGTATTCATAAGATAAGAAATCTTGGTAATCCAGATCGAAGGACTAAAAAGTACTTTTTGTTTGCCTCTGAAGAAGGCAAGGACAAATTCCTTGGGCAAGTATTGGGATCATCGCTGAAAATGGCTTGAACCTTGTTTCTTTATATTTGGAAACATGTTTTTTATATGAGTAGATGAATTTTGAACAATTTGGCCAGTCTGAAAAACTTCACTGTGAATGATTTTAAAGCATCTCAGCAGTAAACAGAATCAGAATTACAATTATTGTTTCTTTTTGCATAAAAAAGGAATTTGTCTTGCTATCATGTTACAAACAGTCGCTTATAAATAAAAAAAATATGAATATTTAGCTATGAAAAACCTAATATTTATACCAATTTCACACATAACATATCACTCTCTCCACTAAGAAAAAGAGAGATTTTGAGGTTCGGGGCTTTTATGCTTTATTAAGTTTGTGAAATAGTCCAGCTGCATGGGGAAAAAAACTGGTACTGATGGACTGCAGCTTCCTGCAAGAGGTTAGTGGGACTAAAAATTTATGTAATGTGGGAATGGCAATCTCTCATGTCTGTCACAGACATACTAGTAGTACAAACTATACTGTGGTGGGTCCATCTTCTAGATTTAATGTTATGCCAAGAGAAAAAAAGTGGCTTTTTAACATATTGTCTGCCTAAATATAAATTTAATATATAAATATCCATGTAAAAGATGGTCATAGTTTCTGATTCTGAAAAGGAAAGCCAATGCAGAAGTGCCTGACACTTTCATTTTTTTTTTTTACCACGTCAGCAGAAGACCGCTCCTCTGGATGAAAAATCTAGTTTTGAAGTCTGTAGGAAACAACCTTAACATTAAGTTATTTTATGAGCTTTATACATACTTGATGAGTTTTGGTCTTACACCATAGTTTTAAGTCTTATAAATTCAACATGATGATCACCGTGTTAATGGTCCCACAGAAAAACAGAATAAAACACAGTGTGATTTGGGGCATTGTTACTTTATAATTGGCATGTTGCTATCATATAAGCATGGCACGTCTTTCAAAAAACTTGAGGACAATAGAAAAAATGCTTAGTGGAACTTTACTGGCCAGTGGGTGCATCACAGCTGGCATCATATATACATCATATCAGCAGCACAAACAATGCACCTTTTTGGACTTGGACCCCTCTGATGAACACTGATGAGCTCTTTTTTTCCTTCAGATTTCCCAACTTTGTCAACCAATCACAGATCTAGTTCTGTTAACGAGACCTTGGGACTCGGTGGTGTCACGTTCTTTATCATCCAGGGCCTCACAAGCCTCGATGAGAAAAAGATAATACTTTTTTCCATCCTGTTGCTGATTTACATCATGGTCCTGGGAGGAAACAGCATCATCATCTATGTGGTACAGAGAACAGTTTAATCAATATTGTCTTAGTCTAATAAAGAGTTGAGGATGAGGTGAGGATGTGACGATTACCATCTATGTCTTTCCTGCTGCAGGCACTGACGGATCCAAAGCTCAACTCTCCACTGTACTTCTTCCTCTGCAACCTCTCCTTTGTGGACATGGTCTACACCACAACCACCATCCCCAACATGCTATCTGGCTTACTGACAGATATCTTAACCATCTCTGTCCTGGGCTGCTTCCTCCAGATGTACTTCTTCATTCAGTTATCTGTTACAGGCCGTGCCATTCTCACAGTCATGGCATACGATCGCTACGTGGCGATCTGCAACCCTCTGCAATACAACAGCATCATGACCAGGCCTGTCCGACTGCTACTTGTTGCAGGAGCCTGGGGATTCGGTGCAATTTGCACTCTTCCTGTTACTGTGATTGCCTTTGAGAGGCCTTACTGTGGCCCAAATGTGGTGAAACATGCCTGGTGCGACCCATCTTCTGTAAGGCGGCTTGTGTGCAGTGACACCTCTTTGGATAACATTGTGTCTCTCTTATTTGCAATGGTGTCGCTGGTGACCACAGGTGTCTTCATACTCTCCTCCTACATCTTGATTGGTTTTTCCATATCCAGGATGGTTGTTGCTCAGAGGCTGAAGGCGCTCAGAACATGTTCTGCCCACCTGACTGTGGTGTCCATCTCTTATGCAGCAGCCTCATTTGTATACATTTCCTACCGAGTGGGAAACTTTTCATCAGAGGTAAAAACTTTGCTTTGCTTTCTCTGTAATGTCTCAGTGCAGTACTCTGTAAAGGTCTTGAGCCACCCCTATTTATTTATATTTTTGGTAGGAAAACAAGAAATACGTGCAGAGATTTACTGAAACAAACAGACCAAAATGGAAATACAGTATCAATGACAAAAACAGCATTTGGACATTTCTAATGAGCTGTCGATATTTGCTATAACCACATTTATTCTCCACCTTTTCTTCTTCAGCAGAACCAGGACTCTCATGGACAAGATTTCATGTAAACTCCCCTGAGTGGGTTAGGGTACTTGTTGTTTCTAAATTGGCCTAGGTGTGAATGAGAGCGTGAGATGAGCAAAAAAGAAGCCAGTGGCTAAAGAAGAAATTTGAAAGACTTTCAGAAATCCTGGAGAACTATTGGTTAAGACTACTTTAAAGGAAAACATAAAGAAATGTGGTTTAACACTTTTGCACATTACTATACGTCAAAGGTTTTAAAGTGTCAGAAGAAACAACATTAACAGTAACATTAAGAGTTTGGTGACATTGCTCAAAGTAAGTCTAAAGAGCTTGGAAACAAAGCTGGACTTCTTTAACTTTCTTGAAGGCAATTCCCCTTTCATTTGAGAAGCTTCTTTAGTTGAGAAGCTTGAAGTCATCTAGGTCATCCTACCACGACCTGGATGACTGAGAACCTACACAGACATATTGCCTCAAAATAAGGTACATTTGTTCCACTTGTGTTTTCATTTAGGGCTGAGCCCAGAGAGTTAACAGCCAGTGTTGGGAAAGTTAATTTTAAAGTGTATTCCACTACAGATATATTACAGATTTATTACTATTACTGAAGGCTACTCGCCATTACAATGCCAACTAGATCATTAAATCTTAATATAATCTTAATATAAAATGGACATTAGGTAAGGCTGCACTTCTTGCAGTGATCGTGTATAGGAGACTGTTTCTGTATCAGTCTAAGAAGCTTGGAAAGCTTCTCATCTGAGAAGCTTCTTGAGTTCTGACTATGATGACCTGGATAACTGAGAACCTTCACAGACATAGTTCTGGATCAGTAATATGTTTTCTTTTTATCTGTTAATAATCATGTGGAACTGCACATGATTATTTGCAGCTAGCAAGTTGTTAATGCTATCCATCAGTCTAAAACCACCATGTTAATATGTGGAGATCCTGAAGGCTGCTCAAAAAAGATAATATTTTAAATATTTGTTCAATTAAAATTAGTTCAAATTATTCTTTTTTTCTTAAAGAAATCTGCTACATCATGTATAATTTATGTCATGTGTAATTTCCATTGCAAATATCAATCACAGCTAAATTAAGAGGGGATGGCAGTAAAAAGCTGTGATGTCATCAAGTACAGTGCCGTTCCAATTGTGGAACGATCGCACTGCGTTCTCAGGAAGTCTGGACTCCTGTGTGAACTTACGAAGTCCGGACACGCGAAAATGCGAGTACGGACTCGTGTACAGTGGCTTGCAAAAGTATTCGCCCCCCTTGAACTTTTTTTGTCACATTACAGCCACAAACATGAATCAATGTTATTGGAATTCCAGGTGAAAGACCAACACAAAGTGGTGCACACGTGAGAAGTGGAACGAAAATCAGACATGATTCCAAACATTTTTTACAAATAAATAACTGCAAAGTGGGGTGTGCGTAATTATTCAGCCCCCTTTGGTCTGAGTGCAGTCAGTTGCCCATAGACGTTGCCTGATGAGTGCTAATGACTAATGACTTTTTCATAAAAGATGGCGCCGGTGAGGTTGGCTGCCGTCACGACTGCTCCGACCCCAAGCATTTCACTACATATCGTACTTTGTATGACTGTGTACGTGAAAAATAAAATTTGAATTTGAATTTAAATAGAGTGCACCTGTGTGTGATCTAATGTCAGTACAAATACAGCTGCTCTGTGACGGCCTCAGAGGTTGTCTAGGAGAATATTGGGAGCAACAACACCATGAAGTCCAAAGAACACAGCAGACAGGTCAGGGATAAAGTTATTGAGAAATTTAAAGCAGGCTTAGGCTACAAAAAGATTTCCCAAGCCTTGAATATCCCACGGAGCACTGTTCAAGCGATCATTCAGAAATGGAAGGAGTATGGCACAACTGTAGCCCTACCAAGACAAGGCCGTCCACCTAAACTCACAGGCCGAACAAGGAGAGCGCTGATCAGAAATGCAGCCAAGAGGCCCATGGTGACTCTGGACGAGCTGCAGAGATCTACAGCTCAGGTGGGGGAATCTGTCCATAGGACAACTATTAGTCGTGCACTGCACAAAGTTGGCCTTTATGGAAGAGCGGCAAGAAGAAAGCCACTGTTAACAGAAAACCAGAAGAAGTCCCGTTTGCAGTTTGCCACAAGCCCTGTGGGGACACAGCAAACATGTGGAAGAAGCTGCTCTGGTCAGATGAGACCAAAATGCAAAACGCTATGTGTAACTAACACTGCACATCACTCTGAACCATCCCCACTGTCAGATATGGTGGTGGCAGCATCATGCTCTGGGGGGGCTTCTCTTCAGCAGGGACAGGGAAGCTGGTCAGAGTTAATGGGAAGATGGATGGAGCCAAATACAGGGCAGTCTTGGAAGAAAAGACTTGAGACTGGGGCGGAGGTTCAGCTTCCAGCATCAACGACCCCAAACATAAAGCCAGGAAACAATGGGATGGTTTAAAACAAAACATATCCATGTGTTAGACTGGCCCAGTCAAAGTCCAGATCTAAATCCAATCAAGAATCTGTGGCAAGATCTGAAAACTGCTGTTCACAAACGCTGTGCATCTAATCTGACTGAGCTGGGGCTGTTTTGCAAAGAAGAATGAGCAAAGATTTCAGTCTGTAGATGTGCAAACCTGGTAGAGACAGACCCTAAAAGACTGGCAGCTGGAACTGCAGCAAAAGGTGGTTCTACAAAGTATCGACTCAGGGGGCTGAATAATTACGCACACCCCACTTTGCAGTTATTTATTTGTAAAAAATGTTTGGAGTCATGTGTGATTTTGTTTCCACTTCTCACGTGTGCAACACTTTGTGTTGGTCTTTCACCTGGAATTCCAATAAAACTGATTCATGTTTGTGGCTGTAATGTGACAAAATGTGGAAAAGTTCAAGGGGGCCGAATACTTTTGCAAGCCACTGTACATGAGGATTTAGAAAAGGCCTAACAATCTGCAAACTACCCTCAGCTAACGCCAGCTAACAATGTTAGCTCGGTATGGAGTATCCTTCATTAAAAGTAATAAAAATCACACAGCAATAGTGCATCAAAGATACTGAAGTTTCGCCCATCCCATTCTTCTTATGAGGTGGTGTTGGAATTTCCAAGAAATGCATTCCTGCCCGTGCACTGCTGGCTGTTGGGCTGGCTCTGGGTCAGCCCAAAAGCTGATGCCACCAACATTAACAGGACACTTACATTACAGCCTCTTATTATGTGTTTTGTTTGGGTTTCCAGCAATCAGAATCAGGTAAACTTTATTAATACCAGATGGAAATTGTTAAAAAGAAGAAGAAAAAGGGCCTGCTGCGAATTGTACTCGAACTCAGGCCGGCTGCTCATAGCCATGCGATATATGACTACGTGCACCTGCGCCAAGTGCGTTTAATCACCAAAATTGGAGAAGGCATAGAGAGGGGATAGCCTAATATATGAAGCCAGAAACGATTGCTGTGTATTCTATTTATTTCAGCAAAGTAACTGTATTCTGATTACCACCTATTTAAATGGTAACTGTAACAGAATACAGTTACTCATATTTTGTATTTTAAATACATAACGCCGGTACATGTATTCTGTTACTCCCCAACACTCTTGACAACCAGGTGATATGTTAAATCACCTTGTGGATACAATAAACCACGACAAACCAAAAAGTACTTGCATCATTACTGTGATAACATGTTGATATGACTTCCACCACAGAGCTGGATACTTTCATAATGTTTCTGGTTTAAATCCCAGGGAAAAAAAAGTCATGCCAGTTTTTACCAAGGGCCATGCAGCATGACTCCTGGGTAAAAAACCATTCATGCTAAAGGACCAGATGGACCAGCAATGTCATCCTCGAGTATATAAACAGATGAATTAAGCATTACATCTGACTCTGTTTCAGGTGCGGATCATTGTGTCTGTGCTGTACTCTGCTCTGACTCCCTTCCTGAACCCGATGATCTACAGTCTGAGGAACAAAGAGCTGCGAGAGTCTATCAGAAGAACTTTGAGCAGGTTCAGACCTGCTGCTGTGTTACCCACCAAGAAAATCAGCACTTTGTCCTGAACAAGTGTCTGACACAAATCATTTTTAGAAATGGTGATCTTTTAATTACATGGTTGATTGTGCCAATATTAATAATAGATGTCCAATTGTTTATGTACTGATGAGCTCATATATAAAATCTACTGATAAAGTACTGCATTAATTAGTTAACATTTTGTCATTTTGGTTCCCTTGTCTCTGTCACTTTCTTTTAATGTTTGAAATAAAGTCAATGTTAACACAACCTTTACACGTTTTTACATTTCTCTTCAGCTACAGCAGACAGTACAGCAGTAAGCTGTGAATCTTGAAGCTGTTATATTGTTAAATAGTGGTTAACAGAGACTACATGAGTTATCTGGGTCATTCATGAAGTGATTGGCTTACACCCAAGTGTTCTTATGACTATTTTACAGTTAAATAATAATTCATATATAATTATTATAATTATTACAGAGAATTTGTTAAGCAGTTCCTGACCCAAGTGGAGGAGTTTAAGTATCTCGGGGTCTTGTTCACGAGTGACGGGAGAAGGGAGCTGGAGATTGACAGACGTACTGGTCTGTTGTGGTGAAGAGAGAGCTGAGTGTAAAAGCGAAGCTCTCGATTTACCGGTCGATCTACGTCCCTACCCTCACCTATGGTCCACGAGCTCTGGGTAGTGACCGAAAGAATGAGATCGCGAATACAAGTGGCGGAAATGGGCTTCCTCCAAAGGGTGGCTGGCCTCTCCCTTTGAGATAGGTTGAGAAGTTCGGCCATTCAGGAGGGGCTCAGAGTAGAGCAGCTGCTCCTCCACATCGAAAGGAGCCAGTTGAGGAGGTTCAGGCATCTGACAAGGATGCCTCCTGGGTGAGGTGTTCCAGGCATGTCCCACTGGGAGGAGGCCCCGGGGCAGACCCAGGACACGCTGGAGTGATTATATCTCAGCTGGCCTGGGAATGCCTTGGTGTTCCCCCGGACAAGCTGGAGGAGGTGGCTGGGGAGAGGGAGGTCTGGGCTTCTCTGCTTGGGCTGCTGCCCCCGTGACCCGGTCCCAGAGAAGCAGAAGAAGATGGATGGATGGATTATTAAGAAATTTGTGATTGACAAAATGCCCAAGTATCATTAACATTAATTTTGCACAGAACTTCTTTTTGCAAGAATCTTAAAATCTGGTAGATAAAGCTCAGTGGCCTTTGTTGAGGGAACTAGTGTGACACTAACTTCAGTTAAAGTTACAGTTGGCTGTTTGTTTTTTCTTTTTCTTTTTTTTCTTTTTTTTTACAAAAAACTGATGCAATTTCATAGACTTAGAATTAATTTATTAAAAATACATAGAAGCCAGTCTCCTGAATTGAAGCCGTGCAGGGCTCTAACACACCAAAATGTGCATAAACGTGCTCATTCCATAGGATTATGCACTTAAATTGACAGCACTAAGAAAACACAATTTAGTTCACTGCGATCAGCACTTCACTCTCACACTGCAGGCCAACTTGTTGTAAAGAGTATTTAAAAGTAGAATGGGAGGCAGAGCCTTCAGTTTTCAGGCCCCTCTTCCGTGGAACCAGCTTCCAGAATTCGGGAGACTACTTTTAAGATTAGGCTTCAAACTTTCCTTTTTACTTAATCAAATAGTTAGGGCTGGACCAGGTGACCCTGAATCCTCCCTTAGTTATGCTGCAATGGGTGTAGACTGTTAGATTTGTATTGTTGATTGTCATTTATGCTTAGAAACATTTACCCACATATGCTTAGAAGTGTATAATCATTTGTAGACTGAAAGAATGTCTCATCCTAGGAGGTCTGTAACAGCTCTGTGTAGCATGAAGGGGGAGTGCGTTCACTCCCTCTACAGAGTGTTCCGGCGTAGATCACACCTCCTAGGAGAGGTCGTATCTTTTCTTATTGATTTATGGTATAGCAAGCACACGTATATCTGTTTAAGTATAAGAGCCTTTTGTTCAGATGGACCGCTAGACTCCTGGTACCAGCTTTGGGGGGTCTTCACAGGGTCACATCTGGACCTCACACACACACACACACACACACACACACACACA